TATTCTTAAATTTTACATGGTTTAAGTTTTTAGCAATATCCATGGTTGTCTCATAAAACGAAGTAAAAACTATAACTTGAAACTGAACATCAAAAAATTCTTTACTAATTACAACTTTTGCTTAATTCTGCAATAGCACTTAGATCTGCATTAGCAATAGATACATTTCAGCGTGAAGGTCTACTGGAGAATCGTTTTTTATTTCATTTTATTCTAAGTTTGGGACTTATGACTTAGTTGCTAACATATACGCATTTTCAGTGAGATTTTATTTTTATATTTCAAATGATAGCAGAATTTTCACTTTTCTTTACAGTTTTTCTAATTATAAATTTACTTTATAATCGCTACGTATCGGAACTTATTTGGGTCATACATTGGTTATGTTTAAACTCAGTCAAGAAAAAAAAAGCGTTTGTAAGTGTAATTTAATAGACATATTGGTACTTATTTAGAAAAATTAGCCAAAAAAAAAATAGCTGGTACCTTTCGACTACTGCTTTTTTGCTAAGTGGATCAAGTAACGATTGCTCCCTTGAAATTAAAATCATAAGTTCTATTGCAAATAATACTTGTATTATGCTTTTTCACAACATTAAAATTTCGGCCTCTATTTATGAGACATTCTTTATGAAATTTATAGCAAATATTCTTGATTTTTAAATCATAGTTGATGGTATAGTTGATAAATTATAGTTTAGTCTTGCAATATTTGCTTACGTCGCAAAAATTTTTTAGAGCATCTAAGTTTTGCATTAATTTATTTATTAGATTAATATAGAAAATGCTTTGAGTTTTCTGTTAACATTTATCTGAAATAGGTTTGAAATTATTCATCCCATTAATCGTAAGGTTTTTGCATTAATGTTTTTTCCCAACATTAAAGTTTCTGGTTCTATTTATAAGACATTTTTGACATAATTTATAGCATTCGTGAGTTTTAAATTTATATATTATAACTGATGTTCTTGCAATATTTATTTACGTCACAAAAAAGTTTTTTAGCGAATCAAAGTTTTGCATTAGTTTATTTTATGATTAATTTTAAGACATTGTTTGGTTTTCCTGTTATTATTTGATACAAAATAGGTGAGTAATTCATCCTATTTGTAAAAATATTGATACATTTCTATTTTAAATGAATTTTTTATACCTTAGTTTTGAAGTTTAATAAGGTATCAAAACTATTACTAATATATTACATAAAGATAACAATCAACGTATCAACAAACAACAATGCATAAATTTTTTCTTTATTTAGAAACAATGATATGAAGAAAATGATACATTTGATATGAAGAAAATATCACAAAATTTATTTACAGCATAATTTTTGAACCACATAGCAGTGCCAGCACAAAGGAATTATTAGCAAGTAAATGAGTAAAATATCAAAAGTATTCGCCAATTTTTGAAAATCTTCGCCAACTGCAAATCTTAACAATTTGTTATGATAATTTTTTTTTCCATAGAAAACTATTTTACTGTAGTTTTTTTCAGACTAATATTATTTGGACCCAATTCTACATAATTGGTTATGCGACGCATCTGCCGAAAATTAGTGTAATCGAATAAAAAATACTGCAATGTTTCGAAAAATTCATTTTGATGTAATTTTAATTTCTTTCCTGTGGAAAAAATCATTTGCCAATACTTTCGTCAAAAAAACAATTATAATAGCTAAATTTACAATTTTATCGCCTTTGGCGAGGGGGTGGGGAATGCTTAGCGCGGACCCTGACATAGGTAATAGAGTCAGAAGGAAATAGCTGCAGATATAAATCAAAAATGGTTTTAATTGGATGTGCAGCATTTTAATCTATTCCGAATCTTCAGAATAAAAGATTCGAGTCATTGAAAGCTTGAATTTAATGGGAAAACTTATTGATTGCTCTCAGCAATTAAATACATTTATGTGTTGACTATCACAAGGTTAATGTGGCATAATTTAATTAAATGGCACTAAAACAATAAGTCATTTTCTAACATGACTTTTATTTTGAAAATAGTTAGTAAGTGATTATAATAATTTGAAATGTTTTGAGTAGTCTTTTGATATTAGTGTTACAGATTTCGTTAAAGCATAGATTTTTATTTCATTTTTTAAAGCATAAATATTTAAGAATAAGATGTCATATAAATCTACTCTTATAAAGAGAAATTTAATTCTAATAACTTTTCTTAACTACAGTAATATTTATCAATTTAAATTCTTAGTTACGTAATTGATTTGCAAACAATTCACACAACATATTGACGACAGATACAAAAGTTCTCGTTAAGAGTAACATCGGTGTTTTTTTTATTAATTTTTTATTTTCAATTTACCTCAAAATGTTTGTTTGTGAAGATGGGCACAGTTTGAAATGCTCGCTTGAAGTGATTTCCATAATTCAAGAATTCTGTTTAAAAAATTAGACTTGTTTGAAATATGTTTTTGAAAAAAATTACCAAAGACTTAAATGCGCGTCTTAGAAAATGGATCGAACACTAAATGTTTTGTTAAACGAAAAAAAAAATTGTGACATGCTTTACGATTGGAAAAATCTTGCTTTATTTTAGTTTGATTAGTACATTTTGAGTTCATTTAGTTTATTAGTTTTTAATTCTTTTAACATACAATGATCATTATAATAGTTTTGAAAAAAGGAATTAGGTGAAAAGAAAGTTTATTTTCGTCAACGCGCATTTTGATTCACGCAAATTGTTTCAATTTGCATTTTAAGTTGTTTATTTTCTTAAACACGCATTCTTTGTTATGTTCATTTTCAGCACGCTCATTTTGAGTTATGTTCTTTTTTTAAAATAGGTCAATTTCATCAAGGTCAATAGGCAATTTTTTTAAACTAACATTGTGAGTTTTGTCTAAAATAATAAGTTTTTTCTCTTCAATTATTGACGCAGAAACAACACGTTTTTAGCTTTTAATAATTTCTACACCTAGTAGCAATAAGTATGACACTTACGATTTGGTTTCTTTTTACCAGTTTTTCCTAATTTAAAAAATATATATATAAACAAGATGTAATGATAACTTTAATAGTAAAAATTAAAAATCAAGTAAATAAATCAACAAAATTCATTCCTTATTGTGCTGAAAATAATGTATATTGTCAATTAAAAATAGCAAGTATTAATTAGTATATTAATAAAAAGCTTTATACAACATTTTGTTGTAATACATATAAACAGTTAAAACAATATTTGCTTACTATATTTTCTCTACGGAAGCGATTGAAAGCTAATCTAAAATAGAAGAAAATAGCAAAAGTGTTGTGCAATACAATGATAACTGTAACTGTGATTATTATTCAAGAGACATAGTAAGGGTTATTTACAGATGAAGGTAGCAAATATAAATATATATATGTAGAATATCTGAAATATTTGTTTACATCAGTTTTTTCTACACTCTAGAAAATTTAAAGGAGCAGAGAGTTATTTAAAATGGTCATTCGTAAAGTAACACATCTACTGTACGGACATAACATTTTTCTAACAATTCATCACCACTTTTTTGCACTTATGTACGTACAAAACATATGTACACATTAGAATATGCACACATGCATGTGCAAATACTGCCTGAGCAAAAAAATAGTGATTTATTTTGAGTTCTAATTTGTTTAATATTATAGTTTATACATTAAAAAGCAAGTAAATTATCCTCTATCCATATAAAGCTCCCAAATAATCATTCATATATAAAAATAATTTTCATGCATAGATTTCAGAACTGTATAGATAATTATTTTCCTTCCAAGTTAGCTATACTCTTTTTAGCACTATTTATTTGGCTCTACTATTTAAAAATTAATATTTTTTATAGTAATAAGTATTTACTGTGATTATAAGGAAAGGCACGCTTTTTTTATAGCTTTCAGATATAGTACTATGTTTAAATAAAAATTAAAAAAAATATTTAATTGATTCGGTGATTTATTTACAGTTTTTTTAAAATGTTATTGCTTTTTGCATTTATTGTTATTAAAATGTAATTAATTAAACTATTAAGAATTGTATATGTTCTATAATTTTAAGTTTATGCTTTTTTTTATTTGGTTAAACTAAACGTTATACACTTACATCAATAAAGTTCCCACTACAATATGATGGTACTACTAGTACGGTGGTCAGTATTACTAGTACAGTGGTCTAATTTTGCTCCAAAACCTTCTCTCCAGCAAATACAGGTTGCTTTCAAATCGGAAAAATATCAACTATCGTACGCGAAGCACTGTACTAGCACATAATTGGAGAGTTTAGTGGAAGAAGCAGGTAAGTGACATTTTTCAGAAATATTTAACAGTCAGGAAAATCAGCATAAGGTGGTCATATCAATGTGGATTATTTTTATTGTAACAAAATTGTTTTCTCTGTCTTCTTTTAATGTTGACATAACTAATCAACATTAGTTATGAGTAGGTTTTCATTATTATTATTTCAAATTAAGTACCGAAAAATAAAATAAGGCAAACAATTATTATTTCCACCTTCTAACAAATCTAAAATGAAATAGTTCATTCCACTTTTTTTGTTCCTATCCTAATTATATCAATCTGAAAATGTCACTTACCTGGTTTTCCCACTATGCTCTTAAATGATTTGAAAAATTCAACCATAACGTATATCTTACAACCAAGGTTGCCTATTTACAGAGATGATTATTGAGATTATTTTCTCCTTTTAGTCCTTAATTATTATTTACTTCTTTTAAAAAAAATTCGAGATAAAATTCAATTATAAAAAAAATTATTGGGAGTATGTTTCCCATATCAATAGTTAAAAATTAAGCTTAAAAGAAATAAAGATCTGAATAATTCAGAATTATTTAGAAAATTTTCATATTTTAAATTATTCGAAGATATATAATTTCAGAATACCATCTCTAATATAAACACAATCACAAATATACATATACACATTCTTATTCTTTTATTTAAAATATATTGGTAAGATATTATTTGAATTTGTTTGTTTGTCTTATATTATAATATTTTTATTTATGAGAGGAAAATAATTTTACTTTTTAGTCGTTTTCCGGATATATTTTTAATTAAACATTTAACATATTTTTTTTTAATTAATCGTATTTAAACAGAAATTTAGACGTTATTCTAAAAGCAGTTTTTACAGTTGGATATGTTTAGATCGATACTATAACTTTTTAAAAAATATGAGAAATAAGTTACAATAAAAATCATTTTTGTTTGAAATATAAATGAAATTCAAATCCTTCGTTATATGTGCAGCAAGGTTTAATTGTGATGGATTCTATGATTGATACCTACTTAGAGTTTCGCAGAACGCGAGAAAAATTTGTAGGTTGATAGTTCTATTCTATTTGCTTGAGATTTGCAAAAGTTTAGATATACTTTGGCAGGTAAAAGGAGAATTGTTGGTAATATGCGTCATGTTAATGTGATTTATTACTTTATATTTTCAAAATTGTGTTACGAAAATTCTAAAAAAAGGTATAGGGTTTTTGAAATAGTATTTCCCTGAAGAATTCATCCTGAAGAATTCATCTTATTATAAGGGTCGTAGTTCTGTTCCGATAAGTCAGAATAGTGTTATAACAATAAAAAAAAGTTGCTAATATTTGACGAATATTATTTAGATATTTCATATTAGCTTCTTATTTCCTTTTAGAATATGCAGTAGAACATTTTTTGTGCATATGTTAGTGCTTCAGAATTCTTCAAAAATCTACATGTAGCTTAAAAATATGATACCAGGGAAGAATCATATAGGAATGTATGGTCACAATGCAAATGTGCAACATGACATATTCAAAATTGCTTTCGCATATAGGTTTATCAGTTAATGCATCATCGTTTCAAATAATTACGTCATTAACCTCACTGTGATTATAAGGTCGTTGCAACCAGTACATAATTTTAAACTAAATCGTGTTAACTCGTTGATATGTAATAAATAATTATTATTTGTAACCTATCTCACAAATTAAAGTGTCTGGTTTTTTGAACATGTTGGGGCATTTTATTTGCGACCATAAATTTCATCATGGTTCTTACTTGTTATTATATTCCTTACCTACAAGTAGATCTTTCAACAATGATTCCAAATCATGGAATACGTTCTTTTACCGTTTAACTGCCGGATTCATATTTTGCACTAATGGAAAAAATGCCTTTAAGAAAAAACATATCAGGTTTGCATTTAAATTAAATGAAGATTTTCTGCAGAGAGCGACTAAATTTATTAAAAAATTAAACAGCTGGTTTGATTTCAGGACATAGTCATAGCAGTGCTCTAGAACTGGTTGAACAAAGCACCCCTATCCCATCCGTCATGAATTTGTTAGTGTGGTTGCTGGATACGAAATTTTCTGCATGCATCTTAATTTTTTTCCGTGTTTCACTGAAGTTAGAAAATAATTTCCATAAATCCTCATTGTAAGCAACTATGCTTGAATTTATGGAATAAGACTTTATCTCAAGAGGCCCTAAAATTGATGAATTCTTCAAGTTGAAAGGAATAGTTTGAATTAATTTTATTAAATTAGGTACCATTTTTCCTATGAATTAGGTCAATTTTATTCTGCATACCTTAAGAAATATTTAAGTTTATCTCAGCTAAAGTGATAAGGACTCTTACGTTTTGAAAAAGAGTGCAGTGATCAAATGTATATAAAAACGATAAGACTCATAAAAGTGATAATACTTTCATTGCATTACTTATCTCGTTTCTCTCCAATATAATATGTTTTAAAAGTTGAGCTGTGTCGAATTGGAAGTCTGATCAGATCTCGAAACATTTTGGTCCTAGAGGTACAGCAGCTGTAGCAGCGTTCATATACAATATTATACGACAATATCATGGAATATTTTCCTGAAGGAACTCTTTGTTAGCGTTTTGTTTCATTTTCCACGAAAGGAATTTTGCCTTTTAAGTCAGGTTTGTTGTTCTATCGGCTTGGATCCTGTTGACATAGCATCGAATGGCAATTTGGCTTATTATCAGACAAAAGTTCCGTCTTTGTCGCCATCGCTGCCATCACTGTTTTCAGAGGCTGCACCTGGAAGGTTGTCCTCTTGGGTTGACTTGTTACTGCCTCGTTTCTTTTTGTTGGGAGATTTTATTCGAATGGAACCTCTTGTTAAGAAAACTTTTTTACTCCAGATGGGACTGGGTCGAATGACGAAACTGACAAAAGTAAATAATTAGGATAAAATAATTATTTGAGTAGAACAAAACATGTGTAAATTTTTAATTATCTGGAAAGATAGTATAAAAAAAATGCACAGAGAAACTATTCGGTTTTTATAATGCATATTTAACTCACTAATAAGAAAATGGCAAAAGCGACTAAAAATTATGTGAAAACTGGATAACGTTTTGTATTAAAATATGTAGGCCTCAAATTTATCTCGTTACTTAAGTTTTAGTACTTTATTTACCATATTTTAAAAACAAATGACAGTATTTATGTTGCTAACATGCAAACAATTATACGATCTGACCGTTTAATAAAACTACAGCGATTTTAAAACGAAGTAATTAGACAATTTCTTAATAAAACTTCACTTTCTGGTTTTTCACGCAATTTATCTTTTAGATTCGTAAACTCAATAGCTGGAATCTTGGATAAGAAAACGCAAAAAAATATTGAAAAATTAACAAAAAAAAAAACATATTTAATTATAAAGAAATTAGATTCCGGATCCACTGATTCATTAGTCCTTGATTCGCCCCTTAACAGATTCTTTAATCAGCCGGTTTATTGATTCTTACATTCATTAATAAGGCAATTTAATGCTTTATGAATAAGTCGGCTTATTAATCATTACATTCAATGAAATTGTAATTCATTGATACTCCGCTTCATTAATTATTTGATTAATTAATACTTGAACTCACAGCTTCACCGATTCAGAGATTCCTCCCTTCACTAGAACACCAATTCAATGATTCCCATTTTTACTCGTTCGTTAATTTATTCTAATTCTATAAGACATTGATACGCTTACTTTGTTTTTTCTCTGGCTATAACAAGAATCAATCATAGTAAAGATCATAGATGCATAGATGCTTTACTATGCTTTTAAAATTAAAGCTGCACAACCATAAAGAACAACATGTGGAATAAATTAACCACAAAAAAGAATTTAAAATTAGACCTTTGTACAAATTATATGCACAAAATAGCAGCAAGATTACATTACATGATGGTTAGTGCAAAAACTGATCACAGATTAAAATATTTTTGTGCTTATGTGTTAAAATTCAGCTAAAATTTATAAGAAAGCGAAAATATTACCATAACATACAAGGGTTGGACAACTTGAATTAAAATACATAATAAAAATTAAACTAGGAAGTATGATATTTCTTTTAATAATTTGAAAAGCACTGTCAAATTGCATTACATACTTTATTCAAACAATTTATACTTACATAACATCGCCTTCTTCTAATGGAAGATCACAGCTTGGATTTATCATAACATAAGATAAACTGTTTCTTTTCTCAGAACACTCGTCTAAGAAAATGATAAAAACATATTATGTCACTATCAGGAAAATTAACTCTTTGCACTATCTAAAATATTGAAATACATAAAACATTAAAATGCTTAAATGTAAAAAGGTAATTTTACTCCTATTCTGTTTTTTTTTTTAATAAATGGCATTTATGAATGATTGTAATACACCATTCTCAAATATGTTTTTAACTATGAGGTTCATAAATCTTTCCATTAGTATAAATGTGTATGCTAATTACTTTCTTCCTTTCGCTGTCGACAAAACCACGGGTTGAGATATACTTTCCTATTTCTCGTACCAGTGATATTTCCGGGCAAGAGCGTTCAAAAGTAATGCACTAAAAAGGTTTTAATATATCCCTCTCCTGTGCCCGGATTTTTATTTTATTTTACTATATAT